GAGAGAGAGAGAGAGAGAGAGAGAGAGAGAGAGAGAGAGAGAGAGAGAGAGAGAGAGAGAGAGAGAGAGAGGTGCAGAAAAAGGTGCACCAAGAGGCCATCCAACTCAGCTCTGGGCATTGTGAGAATGTTCTTTTTCGCCTGTGTGACCTGCTAAGCCATAGAAACCATCGAACTGTTTTTACGGTGCTCCTAGACCCAACTGTGGGGTCTGGGACACCCTTCATTATCTTCAGTTTCCCGAAATGATGCCAATCCAGACAAGCCACCTGAATTCCAGTATTGGTGTACCTGTAGCTGAATCGGCTGATGCAGATGCTGAAATTGTAGCCATGATTTATTGAACTTGTGCCTCCCATCCGTGCATTCGCCTGCCGCTCCTGCAGCTTCATGACATGTCATGTACTGAATGATGTTGATGTCTATCTCATGGTTTGCTTTTTCAGTTCTCTCTTTTAGGGCATACTGACAGTAGGATTTTTCTACTATTTTCGGCACGTGATTGCAGTCAGATACATATAGTACGGTAGTAATTGCGGTTAGATACCTTCAGGAAAGCTCTAGTGTGAGTATGCTCTTAGTAGGTCTCGATTCTCTTGTCTGCTTGGTTCGAAGGGTGCTCGCTGAGCTCAGGTTTGCRCACTTTGTCTGGCCAAGTCTTATGAGACCTTTTGGCTACTTTGACCCAACGGTTGAGTGACGAAAACGGTTATGCTACTATATTTTGTTCAGGCCGAGTCTGACCGACTTGTTGTGTGCGCTGGGAAGATCGGGGATGTTGTCCTCGTGGTTTTTGTATTTAGCAGCTGTGTTACCCCATTTTATGTACCATGATAGAAGAGATTCTGTCAATGTTGATGCTAGCAGTTTTTCATATGCAACCCTTACTTGACTGTCCTCTTGCTATATTTTTCTGAGATTCCTTTGTAGTCCAGTTGTTTGCCTGCAGGGTTCATGTTCAACCCTTACTGTTTACACTCTACAGTACGTAGTACATAGTCATATGTTGAATAAGTTTTACTTGCTGTAGTCTGACCTGGCCTGTTGCAAGAAATGTGCAGTACGTAGTCATATGTTGAATAAGTTTGACTTGCTGTAGTCTGACCTGGCCTGTTGCAAGAAATGTGCAGTACGTAGTCATGTCTTGAATAAGTTTGACTTGCTCAGCCTTGCTGTAGTCTGACCTGGCCTGTTACAAGCAATCACCATTGGGTCTCATATTGGATCATGGGAATGCCATTTATTGAATTTTATTTATCAAAATGAGATTAATTTCGTCAGCTGCTCGTGGTCAAGGGACCTAGTACGAGCATGTGAGTATCCCCGCATCAGGACTGTGGTATCATGCTATCAAAGGGGATTGAAATGATAAAAGTAGCTCTTGGAAATTGTGGTTGCAAAATGAAGTGGCTACATCAGAATTGTGGTTGCAAAGGAGGTGAAACTGTAGACTAGCTCGAAATCGGAATTGTGGTTTCAATTGTGGTCACATGCCCACAGTGCTGATTGAATTAGATAATGAAACGGCGTGAGGGAGAACGGAACGGACTGTGTTACCGCAGTACCTTGCAGTTAGTATGAAGGTTACGTTCCAGGCAAGCTAATCCTACAAATCTTTACATTACAATCAATAATTAAAGAATCGAATATGGTAAGGGTCATAGGCTGGTCTGGAAGAATGGCAAGAACGATCGGAACCCAGCTTACCAGCTAGTTTCTGTATCACTGAAGTTCTCTGAATCTCTGCAGGAGTTGTGTGGAAGGTGGTACATGGCTCGGGGGAGGTCTGATCACACTGGTTGTTGGTATATGCAGGAGTTGACTGCTGACATAGGTGAGGCACTGTGTGCGCTGATTGATGAAGGTGCAGAGAAAGAGAGCAGTGCAAAGAGGTAGGACTTCTTGACTGGGATTAAGCACACACTGTTGAGGGCTTAGCTGAGGGAAGCAGTCGATAGGACGGATATGATTCTGCTGAGGTCGGTCCTTCCTGCATAAGTCCGCCACGCTAGTAGTCCCTGCCTCTGTCGAGAGCAGGCTCTCTCCTTGTGAGGAACAACTGCTCTCATTTGCTGTCCTCTGTCTGTCCTGTATTCTTCTGCCTTGCATCCCCAGCTGTCCCCTTCTCCTTTTGCTGACCACCTACTACATTCACAGCACATGAAGTGACAAAGTAAGGCACATCCACTTTTTTTTTTTCTTTTTCTTTTTTTTAAGTAAGTTATATTCTTCTCTCATCTATCTCATCTTCTTGGTAGTATGCATCTATCTCATCCTCTCGCTAGTTTATGTATAGTAGGGGGGAACACCAACCAACCCGGATGTCTCCCTAGCCCACGGGGTAGGTTGGCACCACAGCAATGGTCCAAGAGCAAGGCTGTACCAGTCCCTCATCGCGGTGATGAGGGGTGGGCAGGCATTGCTGATGGGGGAAATCGGCAGTGCTAGTGCCGAGCAATGGCCAGTCACTGCACCTCGCCCTACCCTCCCCCCCACCCCCAAAGCCCACATGGCGGTGTCTAATGGCCAATATTGTCGCTGCATAGCAACCGACAACATCAGCCAAGGTCCTGCCAATGCTGGTTTGCGGGGCCAACGGGTTATCTCTGACTGGTAGAACACCAAGCTTGCCCAGGCACGTAGGTGAGGCCAATGGGGATTGGACCCACGACCCCCTGAATGCAACTTCTGTGCCTTACCAACTGAGCTAGGCCTGCAGGCCCGGCACATCCACATGTGAAAAGTGCTCTAAAGTAAGTGGGTTGTGTTCATAACATCTTGTCAGTAGAGATATTTCTCTGAGTCAACGCCAGAACGGAGCCAGGCACCAGGAGCAGTCATCAGTGTCTTGTTTGATGAGAACCAGGTCTTGTCCCAATTGTTGGGATCAGCACATCGTTAAACTATGAGCCTTCAAGTACCCTAGATTGAAATAGGCAATACATTGAATACAGTGCCACAGAGATCTGTTTCTCAACTTTGTACCATGTTACTGAGAGCAGTGTTGTCAGATGGCAGTGCTCCTTCATAATGTCGATTTTACTAGACTGCTGCTGACTGGATTGATATTACACTTGCAAATCTGTGAACTGAAGGGGAATGGTGTCCAGTTATCATCTGTAAAGACTGTAAGTTCATTGATGTCTGACGTCTGCTCATCTGTCTTGAAGGTCGCATAGGATCTGTCCACATTCCTTATCACGAAGACCCAGAAAGAAGAGGAAAAAGGATCAGCATCAAATCCATGGGCTTGTTACTCTAGATCACACATAATGATCGTCTTTCACCTGCCATATGGGGGGAATGAGGACCTCCTCCTCCTCCTCCTCCTCCTGCTTCTTCTTCTTCTTCTTCTTCTTCTTCTTCTTCTTCTTCTTCTTCAGTAAACATAATTATTTTTCACTTGCCTGTGGAGCCATATGGGAGGCAATAAATTATTCTCCTCCTCGGTTTTGAGATGATGTGCTTCTTATGCATTTTGTCCTTCATGGGCTTGTTCAACCTGTTTGTATGGACCCACCCCTCGAATTGCAGCTCAACAGTCGCTTCCCCTGTGCAAGAACCATTCATTCCCCGCAAGCAGGAGTGCAAGAAAGGAAAAGCACGGTAAGATTTTCATCAGGGCCTTAGTTTTTTGTTCCTAAACTTGTAGGTGTGGGGTCTGCATATAGAGAGGATCTGCTTCTGGGGAAATTGAAGATTAAATTTCTTGATTTTTCACCCTTTCATTTGAGTTTGTTCAAGCAACTAGCAAACAAAATGAAAGTTTGCTCAAGAAACTGGGGAGGAAAGAAAAGTTGAACAGCCTTGTCATTAACAAATCTCTTTTGATACTCTCTGCTCTTTGCTATCCGTTGATGATGTGCTCTGCAGGAAATTGTATACTGGGGACCATGTAGGGCAGGATGTGGCTGGTCTGAAAAGGTTGCGTCCTGAGCAACCTGGATTGCTTTCAAAGCTCCCGTCCCCCTTCCTTGAGACAACACCTGTGCATCCCTTGTTATGTCCACCCTTGGTTTCGAGCAAGCATCCAGCTGGGCTTATACTCCCAGAGACATACACCCAACGTGCACTTGGCCATTGTGCAACAGCATACACCTTTGATGCCAGGGAGAGTGCTGACATGCCACTTCTGCGGATGTCACAGCAGCACTCCATGTCGCCAGAGTCATCAAGGGATGGGTCACGAGAACGAGATTGGGATCGTGAGTATTTTTGGGATCGCGATCGAGACCGGGATAAAGATGGGCAAGACAAGGGTGATTGTCACAATTCCAGAAGTTCGCCCCAATCATGGTGGCGTGGCCAATCTCGAGAGCTGGCATTTTCACCAACAGAAGATCTTCTGAGCATGGTGCGGACGCTTTTTGAGTTACCAACTTACCATTTGTTTCATCCTCTGATGCTAGATTGGGCTCTTTGTTCTGTTGCGGAATTGATTGTTGCCATGTGTGGGAGCTTATAGCTAGGCAATTGAGCTGATGCAATTGATTGCTTCGTTTGTCATGCTTGTCAAACAGACATATGAGGAGTACCTTGAACGACACGGCCACAGTCAATCGAAGGATGCTCGAGGATTGCTCACTACGCAGGTGTGTTCTGTCATCCCATGTCAGATTGACGTCAGCAAGTGCACAATTATGTCTTTCATGGGCCTTTCATTGTCATCCACAAATGGCATGAAAACAAATCTTTGTGTGCATTTGTCTCATTCCGCTATATGTTGTGTATTCCTGACATGATTGTGTGAGCGACGCCAATCGGGCTATGGAATACTGAAGGCCTGCAGGCCCTAACCCGAGTAGTGTACATCCTGACCCGACCAATAATCTAGTCGTCTTGGTTGGCCAGGCCCACCGGGGGCTTGAGCAAGTTGGCTACTGGTAGGCCCTACTTTGCAGAAACATCCGGACAAGGCCGGGGAAGCCTGTAGAGACTGGTCCATGCAGTTGTAATCGTTGAGCACACTGCTGTGAGTCTGTGCAGTGGAGGGATAGTGGGAGCAGTGCTGTGGCAGGGACCAGGCAGCAACCTGGAGGGGATTGAGCGCGAGCCACAGCTGGGCTCCATAGACAGAGTGAGGGAGGTAGCGCCTGCAAGAGGAGAGCACCTGGGAGAAGAGGTCTGGAGGAGGTGGGAGAAGAGTGAGGGACATACCTGGTGGTCGCCAAGCCAGCTCCAGCATTGTACATTCTTCAAGTGGTTGTTGGTGGGAGCAGAATTGGGCTGTGTGGCATTGGACCCTGCTTAAGTGCTAGAGTAGGCTAGTGACTAGTGAAAAGATCTGGCTCATCCCGGATTAAGGTTGATTCCGCGACAATAAGATCCACATGATATGGACACACACAACTTTTTTCTTGTTGAAAACAGAATCTTACTGTTCTGGCTCCTTTCCATTCTGGGGACCATCAGTCCGGTTCCCATTCCAATGGCAAGTCGGAGGAGATTACAATTGAAGCTCACTCACACTCCTCCCCATTACAGCTGGGGGCCCCTCGTGGAAGGCATTGATTACGTCCTGGGGGAAGGATGTACCACCCCTCACCCCTGCCTAAGTTAGTCTGTTTGGCCTACTCACGAAATGCAAAGAAGAAAACAAAAAGACGATGTATCTTCCCATGTTCCAGCGAAAGATCCATTCTCACTTTCAACATTTCGTGAGTAGAGGAGCGAGGCCAATTGCCTCCTGCTCCTTTCCATTCCCTGTTCCCACTACTCTTTGGAGTCTCCGCCTGTCGTTCACATCCCCACCCGTCGTCCTCTTCGCCACCTGTAATTGTCCATCCTCCATACTTCCATGGCCGGTGTCGCAGGTGTGACCCAGTAGGAGGGCGTTGCAGGGGTGATCGGCAGCCGCAGCAGGCGTCAGGACCCAGGAGACGGGTGCCGCCGGTCACTGGTGGGTGCATACAATTGTGGGTGGGTACGGGTGGGTACAGGTAAAGAAAACCTGGGCTGCCTAGGGTAGGATTGGTTATCAAACAGTTTGGGCTCAGGTGGCCATGGGTGGTTTTGAAAAAAAAAAGTCGATGGGCAGGTGTGGTCAGTTACAGTCTGCAGTGCTTCAGGTAGGGCAGGTATGGGCAATGTCTTTTCTTTTGGAGCAGGTAGAGATGGGTAAAGGTCCGGTAGGCCAGGTATACAGTGGGTATGGGTGGTTGGCTTTCAAAGAGGGTGAGGTTAGGTTGGGTACAGGTATTCCTAAAATCCCCGGTTGCCAACTTTGGTTGAGCCTTATGAATGATACCATCGAGAGAATGTCTGGGATTTCTATCCCAATTAATCCAGTTAGGCGTTAATCCAGTGGAGCCATGAACAAATGTATTATACATGAGTTGTGCCCTGGACATATGTTTGTCCCAGTTCCGTTGAACAAGTGTGATCACAGGTCGCAACATCTGAAATAGGAACTGGTTCATCACTTCAGCCTGTCCATTGGCTTCAGGATGTCAACCAGAAGTCATATCCCGTCTAGAGTGGAGATCGCCCTAACAGTAGGACTGCCCCTCGTCGCTGCAAATATATGGGTCTCTGTCCCTCAGAGTCGAAGTTGGGTGCCCATGGACACTCACCCACCTCTCAAAGAGTACCTCTCTGATCAGAGGCACCCTGGACTCAACTGACAAAGGTATAAACTCGGCATACTTAGAGAAAAGAGCAATGGATACCATCACCTGTCTCATCCCACACAGGGTGGCCTTACCAAGGTCAATAAAATCAATTGATACAAAAAAAAAAAAAAAAAAAAAAATCAATTGCTACAGACCCACTTGGGCCATCAGGGACGCGTACAAGTTTGAGAAGTCCCGTAGGAGGTCACCTGTGGACCTTGTTCCTTTGGCACAACTCACATGTCTCTGGATACTGAAGTATATCCTCTTTCATCTTAGACCATGAGAAACGTTGGGTAAGTCTTCAGAAACCCAAAATTTGTGAGCAGCATAACTCTCTGCAATGAGAAGAATTATGATGTTGTGGTCATTAGGGATGTACAAACATCTCTCCCTCGAGTGACTGTGTACAACAGGCCTAAAGTCTAGGTATAGCCTGGCTCAGAATTGGGGTCCGTGTCCAGATTCCGAACAATAGGGAAGAAGACAGGGTCCTGAGGCAACACATCTACAATGGCCTGCTTGGTAGAATCTCCAAATGAGTACGTCTGCACAATAGCAGCAAATGTGTGAAGCCCACGAGAAAGTTGGCTAGCGACTCTATTATAGTCTGTGTTGTCACGCGGGGATCCTCGGGGCCCAAGCCGGGGTACGGGTTTCACCCCCAGACCCCCGTCGCGGGGATCCCTGACCCCCGCCTCTGCCCCAACCTCGGCACCGCCGGCCCCGCCCCGCAACCCCGCCCCCGCACCCCGCACCTCTGCCTTATACACATCTAGATGTGTATAAGAGACAGCTGTGAGCCGGGCGGAAGCGCTGTCTGAGCGACTTGTGCAAGGAGGTCTGCAGGTGCCCGAGGAAGAAGAGGGCAGGGAGGGAGACGAAGCGGCCATAGCCGCTAGTAGCAGGGAGTAGAAGGCGGCCATAGCTGCCGCAGATAGCAGTAGGCTGTAGCGTACCTGTGTGAGTGAGTTGTGTGCAGAGTGTGAGCGTGTGTGGGACATCCAGGGAGATCCAGAGTAGCGTGCGTGTGAACAGTTGCTGGGAATACAGCGTCGGAAGGGTGTTGTGA